ATAATTTTAGTTGAGCTCGAACTACCTATTGTCATAACCATAAAACGTCGCAAACTGAAATACTTGGGCCATATAATGCGCAATGAACAACGATATGACCTACTTCGGAACATACTTCAAGGTAAGATGCATGTAGAAAAAGGTCCAGGAAAAAGAAAAATATGCTAGCTTTATAACCTACGAAAATAGTTTGACTTGACCGCTACCGGACACAGGTGTAAGGTTTTAGGGTAACAGTCAACAAAGTCAAAACAGCCATCTTAGTGTCCAACCTGCGAAACGGATAGGCTCCATAAGAAGAACATCTTGAAAAAGGTAAAACTATCAATAACTAATATTACAGTGCATTATTTGACACATTTTTAGGGAGATAAACATGTATGTAAGAATTATAGAGGAATATCATTACTTCATACAATCTGAAAAAGATATGTCGATTATTATATTCAGATGAATTCCGTACGCAGAAAAAAAATAGGTGACTACCAGTATGGTTTCCAAACGGGAAGGTGAACAATATACCAGATCTTTATCTTGCTTCATATTTTAAAAAGAATGTACATAAAATATTTGTAGACTTTAAACAAGCTTTAAATTTCAACCATTAACTTCCACAGTGATACACTGTGGAAGGTAATGGTTGAAATGGGAGTACCCAGAAAGCTGGTAGGATTAGTCCAGATTTGTGTGCAGGATTCACGGTTACGTATCGGAATTGGCGGCAGTGCATCAATGAGTTGAACTCGACTTTCGACTAACTTCATCAGCGATGAAGTTAGTCGAAACGAATCTAAGACTAGACGATTTTTCCAAATTTCACTTTGTTATTTAACTTCCCTTTAGAACACGCGTTTAGGAAATCACAACCGAATTAACAAATGGCTTCGCTGTCCAGGGAGCGAAGGAACTGTTAGTTTTTGTTGCCAATTAATCAATCGCGGCACAAAGCCTATTTGGACTTACTTAAGAGTTGTAGACCCAATAAAAAAGAAGTTTATTTGGAAAATTGAAGCGGGAACTCAGTAGGAAACCGTCCAGTATGCAGAAGAAAAAAGTGTTGTTTCTCCCACAAGGCACAAATTCATAAGTTGGGATTCTAATTGCTTTCTGATGAATTGACCTCATTCGATTATTATGTGTCCTAAAATCTGAACAGATACTCTCGTCTGAATAAAAAATTCAGCTAGAACAAAGAGATAATTAACGAAACAAACGTCTATTTTGTAGCGCTTCAAGAATCATGGAATCAGAAATTTCTGGTAAAATTTTCTGGAAAACATGTTCTTCATTTCACACGGGTTTATAAGATAATATAGTAGATAATATCAGTATGCCAAAACCAAATAGTTTTAGAATCGTATTTCATTGTAATACATTTACAACAAATACTGTTCGGTTTAATACTCCTCATTTAAAACGGTTTGTTGGTTACAATTAATTGGTAATTGCTTTAGTCCCAAACTTATTTTTATTTATTCATATTGCTTAATAATAGACAAGAAGTAGGACAAACATTTAATGACACTATTATACTTTGTACTCAAACAAACGTTATTTACGTTTGGATTAAAATATTTGTAAACATAGTAGTACGACAATATAACTGTGATAATAGAAGACAATATATCCATCTATTTGCGCAAATATTCGTGTTTATTTAACTTGTTTGTTAAAATTGCTTATTAATATTATAATACAATAGTTGAGTAAAAAAATGACATCAATTATCATAAATTAAATATATTATAATTAAGATATTTATTTTAATGAAAACTAAAATCAGTAATTAAGTCGAACACTTGGTTTGCGTGACTGACTACTAAAGTATATTTCACGAATTTGCGACTATTTTGGATTATCGCTAGACACCATACCGTCAATGGTCCATTGTAATGTACAACATAAAAATACGAAAGTAAATTGCTCTTGTAATAAAAATATGAAATAAGTAATTACTTATTCATTAATTTAATTATAATTATGTGAGGTGGCGCTAGTGACAATAATGCGACTGCGCTCAGTTGGTGCAAACCTTGATGTAGGAATGGGACAAATGAGAACTCGTTTCTGGCAGGAAGAGCTGGATGCGCTATAACTGCTACAGGCAGGTTGCGACTGAATTGAACCAAAGTCTGTCTTTACCAAATCATACAAAATCGAAACAAGACAGTATAAGGAGACGAAGGTGGCAAATGCCTATTGCATATACACCGATAGCTCCAAAATGAAAGAAGGCTCAGGATGCGGGATATACTCCAGATCACTGAACCTAAGAATAAAGTGGAGTATGGGCAAAAATGCCGCATAGCCGCAAAAGAGATAACCCAAAAAGGTATAGCAGGGAAAACTATTATGATCTGCACAGATAGCAGACAAGCGCTACTAACCTTGAATAGACCACGTGTCAGGGTTAGTAATGGAGTGTCACGAGTCACTAACTCAGGCTTCGGATGGTAATACCATCATCCTGAGGTGGGTTAAAGGACACAATAGGAATAAAGACAACCTCATTGCTGACCAATTGGCTAGGAAGGCGGCAGCCCTGAGACTCTTAGGACCTGAAGATCTTTTTGGTTGGTCAACTACAACAATCGCGGAAATTGTCAAATGTCACTCCCATACGCAAACTGTAAAAATATAGGAAGAAGGGCAAGGATGTAAACTTGCCATGGTAAGACTAAGTAACCTTGAAGAGTCAGCATCAAAGAAGTACTTGGGAATGACAAGGAAAAACCTACGCTTGACAATTGGTTTTTTAACTGGTCATTGTCAATTAAGCCAACACCTCCACACGGGCTAGCAGACACACCTCTATGTAGGAAGTGTAAACGAGAAGACGAAACTGTAGAGCATGTCCTATGCGAATGTCCGGAGTTATCGTTAATACAAGAGTACGCGTTCATCCAGTCCTGGCCCACACCTGCCCACATAAGAGAGATGTCTCCTGGTGACTTGTCCACCTTCCTAGAAATGGCACGATGGTCAATGAGCTAAGAGCGACAGCTCCCTGGGAGGATGCACAATGGGTCAATTGTGGGGCAAGTGTTGTGAAATTTAACTCGCCCTCTATATGCTACAGATACAGAATTAAAATTATTATTAATTAATTAAATTTAAAAAAATCCTTCTATAAACTTTTTTACAGTGTTAATAAGGAATTATTTACAGTAAATCTTTTTAATATAATTCATGAGCACTGCACATTTTATGCGTAAACAATGGTTTTTTGTCTTTAGTGTCCATAATTTAACAACTAATGAAGTAGTATTTTATATCTATCATGAGGGGTTAGGGAAAAGGGGACTAACGAGGTTTGTATATAAGTACATTAGAGATAAAATACTCTCTGAAGTGAAAGAGTTACATATTTGTAGTGACGCTTGTAATGATCAAAACCACAATCACACCATTATAAGAATGTTCTTAGCTCTAACAATAGCAGGAAGATTTAATACAATCCACCATTATTTCAATTTCGCGGTCACAGTTTCTTACCAAGTGATCGCCACTTTGCCACAGCAAACCGTGGTATTCGCACATACAGTGTGTAAAAGCCAAATGGGATAAATTCATTATTTAGGTTACTGTATATATTTATAAAAAATCCCGAAACACGGCAAATTTAAATTATAACTTGACATTTTTTAACGTGAAAATGCAACCCCTACCTTCAACCCCCTTAGAATGACAGGTACAACCCCCAATTTTTAAAATAGGAAGTATAGGCTTGTGATATATTATCGTTTGAAAGGTCTTTTCATTCTCCCTTCAAAAATGTTGTCGCTTTCAAGTTTATTAAGATTAATAATTAAGATAAAATAAATTAAAATCATGTGGTTATATGATTATATGATAAACATTAAAATGTTTATAACGAAAGTGATCAAAGTGGAATATAATTAATACTCATGAATGAAAGAAAAAGAATATAATGAAACTTCTAATAATACACGAATAATGAAGATTCTCAATTAGCAATTTCTGACATAATTACAGCCAATCTTTTGTAAGATAATCTGTATTCCAACTTCCAAAACAAAAATTCCAAAACGTGTTTATTTATTAACATAAAGATTTATATTATCAAAATTTAGCAAATTCCGGTAAAGTAACTGATTAAATAATACATTGCTTGCTTTTTTGTTTACCCAATTGTCATAACCCGGTATCTTATTAATACCAAATCATGTTGATAAAAAATTATTATTGCATCAGGATAAAAGTAATCGTATGATACGATATAAGACATGACTTATTTTAGAATGTTTTTTTTAACATGGAATGAAAGACAATTTAAGAAAATTTTATAATCTTGGTTCTTTTCTATTTATATACATATATACATATATATATATATATATATATATATATATATATATATATATATATATATATATATATATATATGTTAGCCTGGTATTGAAGTTGATAGAATCAAAAATGATGAAATTAAAGATTAAATTAGATTTTAGATTAAAGGTTAAATTAGACATTTTTCAATAATCGCGTTGTATCTTACTAATGTATGGAGCTGTTGATGATTTGATTGGACAATCGTTACTTTAACGAAAAAAGAAGTCATAACATATTAACTATTTTTTTTTTCTATTTTCTCTAGTTTTCCGTATACCCTGCAAAACGTACCAATTTTGGACACGCTGTATAGACGATGGGAGACGGGAGACTTCGAATCAGAATACTAGAAACTGAGGACGAATAAGATAAACAGTTGGATGACTGAAATTATAAAATCAGGTAAAGAAAGAGGGCTGAGCTACACAGAAATGAAAATAATATTTATAAATTAAAAAGGAGAAGAAGAATGAAACGAAAAAAAGGAATATACAACATCACAATAAAAAATCTGACTTCCTAGGTGGTAAAAAGAATTAAGAGAAGAAGAAAAATACAACTTAACATATATTTTACTACGGACAGATGTATGACAAGTTCTTAAGAAATCTAAAACAAAATATTAATATAAATATATTGTTTATTACCTCAGAAAAATCGTAGTCCTCCATCTCAAAAAATTTGATCGTTTCTGACCTACACCAGTTTTACACTAAAAGTATCATGTATCGATTATTCAAGCTTAATTTGCCAGATAAGTTATCAATGTCATTAACAGTGTTTGAATAACATCCCAAAATGACTGCTGTAATTACTGATAAAGTTTGAAAACAAGGCATAACATTTGATGTTACTTAATTTCTTGTTAAATGTGTATTATACGTGGGGCTTAAAAAAATTCGTAAATCTTATTAATTATGAAATGACGACGATATACAATGACATAACTGAGTTACGTTTTGCGTACAGTGAGTCAATACTCACTGAATATTTTATATATGGGAATAAAACCAAAATGAATAATTGTACTATTTTTTTTTTGTTTCGAACGTTTCAATTTCTACTCCAGAAATCGTTTTCAAAAAATATCTGAAAAAGAAATTAAATGGAAAAATCAAAGGATTGGAAAAGAACATTTTTATTTGCTTTTCCAATCTTTATAAAAAATTTATTTCCTAGCTGAGCGCTTTCGGTTAACAGAGCCATCTTCAGAGCTACGGTCAAGTTTTTAAAGTATCACTGCTAGGAGAGATCTCATTTGATAAAAAATACAGAATTTTTGTTAAGGTGGCTCGATGTTAAAATGTTTCATTGAAAAAACACAAAAAAGACTGTACACTGAACTCTACAAAAACACATTAAAAAATTTGGTTATGGTTCATGTGTCAGAACCCGATCATTGTTGGAGTTGAAACAGCAAATAGAAAATATATCGGTCTTTTCAGTTGCACTAAAATTTTAAATAATTGATAATAACCTCTAAATATTGTTACGTCCCTGAGTCCACATGAATCTGAAGAGTCCATGAGGTCATATAAACTAGAATCATTAGACAAATTCTTGATGGAGATATACTTCAAAGAAGAAACGATCAAATTCGCCATGGAAAAGGAAAATAACAACTCATTACCATTTCTGGATTTTTAAATCTCAAAGGAAGCTACAGGATAAGGAACCAAATTATACAGAAAACCAATACCAACAAACATGTAACGTAATCAAACTATTTACGTACATTAACATTCTAGGCCTTTTTGCTCGTGTCGGGAAGAGGTTGGTTGTGGTTCTTTCAAAATTCATATAAAAGCTCTTTGTATTACCTTTAAAATTAAAATGAATTGGGCACCATCCTTTAATAGTTTAACCTCTTAAGGAAATGAGCTCAGACAAAGAAATAAAATGAAAATAATTTTAAAACAAAGCATTAAAATATTCTAGGAGACTTACGTCATCCCGGAACAGAAATAAACAGTATCTGTTTAGGTATTAAATTAAAAATGTGCTTGAATAAAACTAAACTTAAAATCATGTAGTAAAAAACAAATATTTTATATCTTTGCATTAGATTATGAATGAGAAATACTTATATCAAAATAAAATTATACTTTATCCCAAATTTCAAAATTTGTTCACATAAAAAAATTCTATTGTATAGAAGATATTTAAATATTATGTAGATATTTATGTAATTTAAAGATATCATACTAAATAAGATCACTGTTATTTAGTTCATAGATAATCTTCACTGTTAAAAAAAAAATAAATAATAAATTGGTAGAACCTAAATTATCCAAATGCTTGTGTGGCTTGTAGAAAGGATCTAATTTTTATACTCTAGCCGGAATTTCAGAACTTTTGAATCTATCGGCAGCAGAAACATAATATACACCATAAAAATCTATAGAATGGGGCGGCTAAGCAAAGGGGATATTCCACAAAAGGCACTTACACCAAATAACGGTAATCCTGCGAATTGCTGAGGGTGTCATGTAAAGACGGCCAACTATACATTCTGGTTTCAGAACACATACCATAAATCCATAAATACTTAAATATTCTCGCGCCAATAAACATAGTTCTAGCAACTATTAGTATTTCCGGTAAGTATTGAGTCCAAAAAAATATTTATTTAATATATAAAAAAAGGAATTTTTCGGCTTACCTAGTCAAGAGACCACTCAAACAAGACTTCGTCCTATATGCTGGACGTTCAAAGAGAGAAAGGAAAGATAAATACCGCGAAGGTTAGCAGCGCTCGGCAACCCTCGCTTGTTGGGCCAAAGTCGGAACTATTATGAAATGCAGTTGGATCCTTGAGGTTATTTAGGTGCTCCCGCACTCGGCGGATAGATGGCGTGAGCAACATTAACTTGAAAATTTATTATTATAATTCCTAATATAACTTTAAAAAATAATTTGAAACTTTTGAAACGGTTACAAACAGATATTTAAATTACCATTCAATGACTATATGACCCATCCCGAAGTACTTGCTTCAGCGAAAACGCCTTTGTGAAAGACAAAAACTTATAGGTATGTAATAAAAAATATATTGTAATAAAAAATAATGATCCATCGTCACTAATAAATAATAAATAAGAAGAGAGAATAACAATACCCTACATAAAAGGATTCATCAAAACAATCAGAAAAGATAGGAAATAAATATATGATTACAAACTTAGATCTATTTGTGTGACTCCAAAACCAAACTTCTCAAAGGTACAGGAAAGATATAATATCACTTCAAACATGTGGCAATTTTTATTTGGATGAAACTTACAGATTACATAAAAAAACAGAGGAATTTGGTAGATCGAACGATAAACATCAATAGTTATAAATAATATAGTAAAAAGAGTTGAACTACTAACGAAATCAATTTTATAATTACTGACAAGAGGCAAATCTTTAGAGATGTTACAGTCCTAAACCAGTTTTCAACAGGTAGCGACCACAGAATGGTGAAAGCCTCGCTAGAAATAGACCTTGAGAAAAAGATACCGCATGATCAAGAAGAAGTCCAGACCTACCTGAACAGAGTTTGATGCTATATACAATTTGAAGAATACATTAACAACATTCTCGAAAGAATAAGAATACAGACCGAAATATCAACACCGTGAATGGAATTACAATAGAAGCTATAGAGGAAAATCCTCAAACGCAAGAAGTAACGGAAGAGAGAACAAAGGTGCAAAGTAGTAATAGAAAAGAAGACCACCAACTTTGAAAGGTAAACAAAAGAATACAAAAATCTATTAGCTTAAACCGAAACGAACAACTCAAAGCTTAAAAGTAAACAAATCTGACAAATGATTGAAGATAACAACAGCCTCAAAGTCCTAAGGATGAACTCATCAGGGAAGAATTACTAAAGATAGTGGAAGTCGACAAAACCATGATGAGTAACGAAGAATAAAATGATAAATGGGTTGCTCATGTGGGCCAATTTCAATTTAGGTAAAAGAAATAAATAATAGACTTACAATCAATTTATTATATCTTGGAGGAACGGTGTCAATACTATAATTTGCTATGCATTTTCAGGTCTCCGGAAAGGCAACTTAAATGATGCCGATGCAAGGAATGTAGTTATACCTACGTGAAACTCATTGATATGAGTTTCACTTCACTTTTCACAATCACTTTTACAAACATATTTTGCATGAGGTCCCTATGTTTTCTGTGTAGGTCTCTGGCCACTAAAACTGGCATTTCATGAATGTCAATAGTTTCAAGCAACAAATCACTTTCGTCGTTAATTTCAAAGTTTAATTCATATATGTATTTATCATGCCGGTCCTGTTTACTACTTTGTTTCATATTGCACGAGGTGTAAAACTCAGACAATTATTTTTAAACTTAACTGAATACTCAGGTAAATTTCATTCATTCACATTTCTTATCAGTTTTATACACTTCATAGTTTATGCACCATCTCGTAAAACTGTTTGCCCTTAACGTTTAGAAATCACGCAATCCGTGTGTACAATCGCGACTGTCATTAAATTCTTGCGTTCCTTCAAAGCTAAATTGAAAAAAAATTAAATCAGAGAGTCATGGTTCCAGACATCTGATTACGATTTTTAAATGTAAAAGAACTGTTTTCAATTGACATTGACAAGAAAGAGTATTTATAGAGAATAGCCCATGTCAAAAAAAATTAAATAAAAGTATACAAGATATGAAATAACAAGATCGCACAGTTCCAAATAATACAAACTTATACTTTAACACTTCAACCTAGAACTCAAGTTAAGTATAGCGACATGAGCTAACTAAATTTGAAAGTGTCCCATAAAGACTGGAAACATAACAAACTTCACGAAAAGCGCTCCCTAGTGACAAAATTGAAGAAAGATAGATATCTATATAAGTGATTCTAGAGGAGAAAACTATTAGGAAACAGACAACAGCGATATGTAATATTAAAAACGGATGTAATGGGATAGTGATTATCCCATTACATATGATATAGCCATCCTATTCAAATGTCAACCTCACCTGCTCGTTTGATGATCTAGATTCTAGTCTATATCATGGTCATCTGGTACATCCTTCTAAATAACTAACGAGGCACTGACGTCCGAGTGTTTCCCGGGATAAGCAATCCATCATTTACTGGCCAAGGGCTACGGGCGGATGAGCTGGTAAGTGGAAGGGCACTCTGTTAACCTGAGACTGAGAAATTGGTCTCGAAGGCGGAAGAACCAAGAAAGTGGTTAACGGCATCAGAATGCAGAAGGTAAAGAGAAATCAGTGCATTAAAGGTCGCTAATGACATCTCTAGTAGAAATTATAATGGTTAGCACTAGTTACGCAAGAGTCACTATTGATTTTTGTAATCGGAGAACAAAATCCGGTAGGGGAGGACAACCATCGAAGTACAAGGCCTCCTCGGTCATAACACTACTAATAGATTTGCCCAAAAAATTATGAAGATGAGAGGAGTACCTTAGAGAACTTTTCCAAGATGAAAGAGGTGAAATGCAGAGGATACAAGAACTAAATATTTTAGAAAGACAAATCATTTAGGAAAAGATGCAAGGTAAACGTGGTCCTGGTAGAAGAAAAATATCATGGTTGAAAAATTTAATATATTGGTACGGAAAATCGACTACACCACTATTTAGAACTGCTGTCAATAAAGTAACGATAGCGAATGAGGTAGTCAACATGATATCTAACGATCGATAACGGTCATGGAACTA